TATAAATTTGAATTATTTTTTATTGAAAATATTAAAAAATTTCGCTCATATTATTGCTTATGAATAGCTTCAACTCATTTCAGCATTAAATAATTAGCCTGCATACATACATACGAATATATGCTCCAAACAATACACGAACTCAATACAATAAACGCTTTTTTAAGTAACAATATTTGCGTTGAACTTTATACTGCTAAAACACACCGTTAAACTTATAAAACAAAACAAATTGAACGAATCAAAATCAAATTTTTTAATGCGATATTTAAAAATTCAAAAACGTCGGAGACAAAAATTTTTGCGTATTTATAACAAAATTATTAATTGAAAATGAAATCGTTTATTCGCTGAAGAAAATCTTATGAAAATTTCAAATAAGAGAGAGAGAGAGAGTCAGAGAAGAAACACCCCGCATCYAGCACCACTTCAACCAAGCGCCCACGTCACTGCAATTGCCAATAGTTCACTAACAATTCACCTAGCAATCCATCAAGCAGTTCACCACCAATTTGCAAACGCTTCCATGCCATACTAACAAGATTCACCAAAAAAAAAAAACACCGCTCTTCCATCCCCTCTACCATCCACTAGCTTTCGATTTTYCTGCGCGCAACTGTCACACACACACGAAAAAATCCATAGAACACGCTCACCAAATTGCGTGCAAACGTAAAAACTTGCCGCTATTCCAACAACTAACAATTAGCTTTTCAAGCGAAAATTTTTCAAATACAAAAAAATAATTACTAACAATTGCAGCTCMCTAAGTACGAGTATTACTTGCAAGTTTGCCACGCCATTCACTAGCAATTAGTAAAAGAAATACTAGAATGTAACATCTTGCTGCTTTTTCTGACCACAAGAGTATAGTTTTGWAAATTAGTAATTAAATTGCAAACTACTTCACCGCCATTGCTGCAAAGTAACTTTCTAGTTATTGCGTTAAAAGAGGCTCTCATGAATGCCAAGCGCACTTGTGTGGCAGAAATATACACTCACGAAAACCACAAGTGCGCATTGCAACTCTCATTTCGAAACCCTTCAATACATTTCAAAATATATTTCAGTTATATGCAAAATGCACTATACTCTTCCAATGCACTCGCCACAACTCACCGCCTGCCTTACTGCTCCCTCACCACACCTTAGACTCGCTCACCTTAGAATCAAACAAACGTTTAGTCTCCCTCACTCACCTGTTCAAGAAACCGTAGAAGTCTCGAAGTTCGAATTTCAATTAACTTAATTGCACAGTATAAAAAAAAATATGCGAATTCGAGTGAAATACTCGAACGAAATATTACACACATGAATTTACTGTTACTTTTCACATTTATTTTTAAATTGCTCCATGTTGCATGTCYTTTATTCTAGTTGTACGTATTCTACTTAGCTTGTATGAGTAGAGTGATTTCACGCATGTTAATACAAAATTTTGTTGTTATAGCTTAAATTTATTGATGTTGAGAGTGTACGAGTAGAGCAAAAGGCTTTAGAAACATGAAGTAAAATATTAAGGATTTTAAGGGGTTACATGAGCTTTCTCGGCTAAAAAGTAGCCTCTTTTCAACAATTTTTTTCTCATATAAAATTGAAATATTTTACTAGAATTTTTTATTGTTACAAACATACACATTTAGCAAATAAATTCTGAAATTTTTGAAAAACAATATTTTAAATTCGGTCATTGCGACGGCATTTCCGGTGACCCCTCGGAAAAAAGAAGCACCCGCGTTGGCAGAACAATTTGAAAATGTAGGACAATATTCTGGAGGTGTTGTAGAATTTGATAAGACAATAAAAAAAATCGATTTTTTCAACCCGTAAACGCTCAATAGAATTATGGAATATAATAGGTTATTTGAAATTCCCTTGAAAGCCTTCAAAAGAAGTGGCATTAAGATGCAGTTGAGTTGAGTTTCCATCGCAATTCATATAGTTCGACTGAACCGAAGTATATTGTATCGTATTAGAGAAAAAATTAAAAAAATTTTCTACAGACATAACCTCAAAATTGCTTTGAAAWCAGCAAAGCTGTAAAGTGAAGCCATGTACTTGACTTATTTACTCTTTATTCATGAAACAACTAACGGTAATAGACATAAACTCAAAACGTTTTAAAATAACTATATAATGGGCAATACTACAAATAGTAGAGTTTTGAGTTGCGGTGAGTCACATACCTGTATCGACTCTCCAAAACTTCACGATATTAAAACCGAGAAAGGATACACCGAAGGAAAGAATTATAATTTCTACACCAAAGTTCCACTCTATAGCGTTCGGAAATGTATCATGTTTCACACATGAAGTTCGGAGCTGCTTCGGCAACACTTCGTTGAAATAACATGGTCCAAAAAAGCTCTCGCTGTGTTGGAAGCTTTTATTTAGAGGACAACGGTTAATGCCAAAGCTCGCTAAGCGCACATTAAACTTTGTTTTCGAAGAGAAATTAATTGTCTTTGATTGAGTAATGAYTTTAAGGCTGTGATGTCACTAGGAGCGCAGTTAATTTAA